CTCTCTCTCTCTCTCTCTCTCTCTCTCTCTCTCTCTCTCTCTCTCTCTCTCTCTCTCTCTCTCTCTCTCTCTCTCTCTCTCTCTCTCTCTCTCTCTCAAACACACACACACACACACACGTTCTATGCTAAGTCCAGACGCTTATAATTTCTATTAATATATAAGCAATAATCAAGAGATTAGATGGAAATATTTTCTCAACTATATATATAATAATTTGTTTGATATAATAGACTATAGTCTGAAAATCATTACATACAGTAAACAAATAATTTATAAGAGAGTGATATGTTTCAAAACACTTAATGATATATTTCAAGGTTTTAACGAGAATATATTATAATTTTTGAAACTTAAAATTAAATCATTTCTCAACCAACAAATCTTGAAAATAAGTTTTGTTTTACTAAATAATTTATAGCAATTTTATTTTGTGCTTATAAAATCTATAATAGCCTGTTTCTATAAAACTATTTTCTTTAAATCGGGTGCAAATATGTGAAAATATAATGATTAATAATCTAATATACTGTAACTAATTAATATATTTACCATACAATAGCAAATCAAAATAGTAAAAGTTATAATAACATTATAATAATAAAATTCAATATAATAGTTATGGATAGAAATGTTAGCCCAAGTGTAACAATATGTGAAAACAATACTCCGAACGATACGGTTAGACATCGGATGAGACGAGTAAACAGTATAACCGTTGCAAATGCCTATCGAGAAGAAAAAATTCAAAGGAATTTACAACCAGACCGACCGTAAGTCAACCTTATTTACTAATTGTGTTGTATGCAATTATGCAACTATTGTATACTTCAAATTAATTATTTGATCAAGCTTCATTTTGATCAATGATCATTGTCAATAGTAATATTGTTGCTCATGTATTTAAAACTTGATTTGCTTTTCAATAGACTACATGAATGTCGGGACTCATTGTTCAGCGCGTCCAGCAATTTCCAAAATTACCGAGGATTTTTGAATTTGGCGCTAATTATGCTGGTATATTTTTTAGTGTAATTACTCTCTAATCCATAACAGTTTTAAATATCTAATAATTAATTAATACGATAATTATAATATTTAATTTAATATTATGTTGTTAAAATTCGATGATAATATTTTTGATTATTGGTTATGCAGCATATAACTTATACTAACCAAAACAAACTACAGTATAAGCGTACTTACAGTAAAAGGCCTTTAAATTTGTGCTCATTTGATAATTATGTCATAGAGTAGAGTAAGAAAAAGGTATTAAACAGTATTAAACTTATCAATTAAATCAGTTATAAGAATTGGAAATATCTTATGTATGGAAGTAAGGACACTATTGCAACACATCATTTAATTTATGATTTAAAATCAAATCATATTTATTTTAATTCAATATTATATACAATACCATTATATTAATATTGTATTATTGTATCTAATACTATTTACATCAACAATATTAGTAATCAATATTAATGACCACAGCGTTGATTAACCTTAGGGTTTACGCAAACATTAATTTTGATATCTAGTGGTCTGTTATTTTTTAAAAGATTTTGTTACCTAAAATAATTTTTAAAACAATGATAGCATTTGCTTTTATCAAAAATCGATTAAATTTTTAATTTAAAGTTTATATATAAATTTGGTTCAATACCTAAATATATTTGTAATACTAATCCATAATAATAATATTAGCTATTAATAGCATACATAATTAGTGTTTGATCTGTATTTATATAGATATTATAAAATAGTGGTCACTTAAGAAAAATAAGATAATTTAAAGCTACAATTACATAATTAAAGTCCTTGACTATTTTATTTGCAAATTTGAATTAATATTGCGAGTTGTTTCTAATGGAAAAAACAAATTTAATTTATTGGCTTTCATTCAGAATATAAATTAAATTATGTACATGGGTTATCTTTCCAATGCAATTTTTATTTTTATATAGATTTAGATTTATAGCATTTAACATTTAAATAGACCTGAATATTATTATAAATACTTTATAGTATTTTACTATATTAATTAAAATATTTCTATTAACTGCATTATTAAATATGAATTGTTATAAAACATAAAATATAATGATAGGCATTATGCACTGGACGGGTGGCTTTGGAGAATGTGATCAAATACGGCATTCTTGTGGATCCGATGCAAATTTTTAGACTATTCTTTGGCGGCACCAGTATATGGCCCACACTTTTCACATTATTCGCTGTCAATATATTTATATTATTCTCATTTCACATTGAAAAACAATTATCCAGGGTATTTATACTATTTAAATAACATCAATATATCATTATCCATTAATAAATTGTTATTAATAAGTAAAGTACAAATAATTTGATGTTTTGTTTTACTTTTTAAGATCATATGATTAACTGTTTTTAGTAATAGTTATTGTTTACGCCTTATGTATAAAGTCTTAATACATAGTTCTTAGTCCAATGGGTATGAAATAGAGTACAAATTGAGTTCATTATATAATATACAGTGTCACTAATATAAAGGAGGATGTACAATATTGTAATATTTAAAAATACCATTATTTCCTATAAAATTTAATTAAAGTCAAATTCCATTATAATATATAAGTAAAATGTTTGAAAGGTGGGAATATTAATAGATTGTTGATTGTAATGGATCTAATTTTATATCATGTGAATAACTAATGATTTAAAAATAAGAGGATATTAACGGATTGGGGATACTATTGGACCTAAACTTTATCTTTAAAAACATTTTAAACAATAATCATATGATTTAAAAATAAACACTTATTATAGTTACAAATCTATACTATTAATTGTTGATTTATAAAAATTTAATATATATTAATATTAAGTAATTATTAAAGTCAGAAATCACAGAAGAGAAGGCCTTAAGACATCAAATAGGTGTTTGTGGATCTGTTATCATATTTCCGGTGTTAATGGTTTTTGTCATCGAAATGCATCCCATAAGTGCATCCATAGCGTGTACGTTATACTCAATGGTGTTTTTAAAGTTAGTGTCATATCATATGGTTAACTACTGGTGCCGTCAGTTTCGCGTAACTAATAATTACAACAAATATAGAGAGCGGAGAAAAAGTAGCGACAATATAACCGTCCCTAATATGGAGACTATTATACTGAATAATATTAAAAACAATGTTAATTCCAATCATTATAATAGCAAAAAGTATAAAAACAATAATCACAAACACTTAAATGGTAGCGCACAGACCAGACATCTAGTTCAATACCCGGATAACTTAACGTATAGGGATCTATACTATTTTATTGCTGCCCCAACTCTTTGTTATGAACTCAATTTTCCCAGAAGTGAACGAATCCGCAAACATTTGCTTATTAAAAGACTCATTGAAATGGTTAGTACTCTCATAAAGAATACATTTGTTTAATACATATACAGTACAGTAAATTAAGTATTAATTGTGTTTCACGTGAATTAAACAGATATTTTTAGTTCAACTAAATATGGCGTTAATCCAACAGTGGATTGTGCCCACCATTAATAACTCACTCAAACCACTCCAGGAAATGGATTATCCCAGAATGTTGGAGAGACTTCTTAAACTAGCGGTTAGATTGAATATGAGTTCATAGTTACAAATGATCAATTATTTGATCAACAATAGTTCAGAAATAGTAATTGATATGAACATTGATTTACCAGGTACCAAACCATTTTATTTGGCTCATATGGTTCTACTGGTACTTCCACTCGACACTCAACTTCATGGCTGAAGTGTTGCGATTTGGGGACAAAGAGTTTTACCGAGATTGGTGGAACTCGGAAAGTGTGGAATACTTCTGGAAAAACTGGAATATTCCGGTCCACTCGTGGGCCGTCCGACATCTCTACAAACCCCTGCTTCAAAGCGGTTACAATAAGCTGAGCGCCGGTATCGTTGTGTTCCTGGTGTCGGCCTTTTTCCACGAATACCTCGTTTCAGTGCCGTTGAAAATGTTCGGGTACTGGGCTTTCGGAGGAATGCTATTTCAAATACCATTTGCTATGTTTGTCAGCAAATATTTCAGCGGTTCCGCAGCCAACACAGCCGTCTGGATATCTCTAATCATTGGTCAACCCCTTTGTATACTTGCCTGCTATCATGATTACTATGTTATACATCATATTATATATTAACTCAAAAATAAAGTCTATTTTCATTTGTTGTCTAATATTTAATTAATAAATGTAAAGTATATACTGTATTATTATATTTTATTAAATTAATTTTATATTAATCAATTAATTAATATTATGTTTTTAAAGAAATAATGAGATACCGTATATAAAAGGTAATAAATACGGTCTAAAGATTAAGCATAAGTTAATACTGTATACCGGTAGATAAGAAACAACTGTTTGTTTCTCAGTCACATTCACCTCAATTTATTACCTAATATTTGATACAATTAGGGTAAATATACAGTGTTATAAATTATGTATAATACTGTGTACAGGTATAAGTGTTTATGTCAATATTTTATAGTTTTAATTTTAATACCATTAACACTTGTATTTTTTTAAAATTATGAATAACAAATTATTTAAAAAATCATCTCAATTTAAATAGGTTTGTCAACGTAAAGTTTTTAATCAAAACTTTATTTTATAATCAAAACTCTACTCTAAAGTCTAGAGATATCGGCAAAAGAATCATGAAATGTGTGAAACACTCTGTTATCATAAATAATTTCTCATAAAATGAACAGGATCATACAATTTATATATTGTCTTTATAATTAATTGTAGAATTTGTTACAAAACAAAAATTTTGAACAAGATTTTATAATTTTATTAAATATTTAATTATGAGTTTAATTGAATCTATTATTAAAGCCAACACTTATGGGGACAACGAAAAGGCATTCTTCATATTAGACATCGAAGACTTATTTGTTAAACACAATCAATGGTTGCAATGTTTGCCTCGCGTTCAACCTTTTTATGCCGTCAAAGCAAACAATTTACAACTTATTATACAAATATTGGCTAATCTCGGCATTGGATTTGACTGTTCCAGTCAAGTAATCTCTCTCTCTCTCTCTCTCTCTCTCTCTCTAATAATAATAATAATAATAATAATAACAATAATAAATAAATAATGTAAACATTAACCCGTTTAGCGTGAAGTAGAATCAGTTATGGGTTGTGGTGTGGACACATCGCGTATAATATTTGCAAACCCGTGCAAATCTAGGGCACAATTGCGTTACGTTAAGTCAATTGGACTCAAATTAATGACATTTGATAACGAAGAAGAACTGATGAAAGTATCGGTTCTCTATCCTGAGGCTCAACTCGTTCTACGTATCAAAACAGACAACACGTACTCGACGTCCAAACTTAGTCTTAAATTTGGGGCCGATATTCACGAAACGGAACACCTCTTGAGTCGAGCTAAATGTCTCGGTTTGAATGTTATCGGTATTGATATTGCTTTAAATCATTACAAATCATGCAATTAATTGTTAATGTAATTAAAAGGCATTGCATTTCATGTGGGAAGTGGTTGTCAAAAGTCGGGTCCATATTTAGAGGCCATTCACAAAGCAAAGAATGCTTTCAATATTGGCATTAATTTGGGATTCAATATGACATTATTGGACATCGGGGGCGGCTTTCTCGGCAGCGCAGAGTTGGCCAAATTGCCATTTTGTACCGTCACAGCCGACATCAACGAGGCATTGGACCAGCACTTCCCGGCCGATAGTGGGGTCACTATAATAGCAGAACCGGGAAGGTTTTACACCATAAGTGCATTTCATTTATGCGCTCAAATCACGTCCAAACGGGTTGTGGTTACCGACGATCGCACACAACGACTAATTATGTATTACATTAACGATGGACTGTACGGATCCTTCAGTTCAGTGACCACTGGTCATCGATCGGTACAACCTATTCCTGTACTCAAAGACACCGACCGATTGGATAGTCGGACACAATGTTTGTCTGTGATATGGGGTCCGACGTGTGATAGTTATGACTGCGTGCGCTCTGAGCACCTGATGGCAGAGATGATGGTCGGGGAATGGCT